TGATGCTATATATTATTTTGTACTTTTACCTTCTAACTAATTACATTTTTTTAATAGAGAAGATTCCAAGTTATCCAACATATTCAGCATTTTTGTTCATCAAAATTAAAAGCTAGAAACAATAATGAACAGTCACCGGGCATGGTGCATCTTTGTAAAGATGACAACTGGAGTGCATTTAGTGGGTTTTTGTTTTTGTTTTAATTTATTGGAGAACAGACATGGTCATTGGTTACACATTGCTTTCATGCTACAAAGGCATAGTTGACTCTTTTTTTTTTTTAATTGGGGATTTGAGGGAGGGGAACAGTATTGGGGAATTGGGGAGGGGGAACCAGCCAAGTTGTTGTTCTTCAATCTTAGTTATGGAGGGCGCCAGTCGCCATCTGGCTGCCTGTCGGCAGTTCATGGCCTCAAAGCTCAAGGTGCTGTGTTACAATCTTAGTTGCAGGTGGGCGTAGCCACCATCCCATGTGGGAGTCAAACCAGTAGCCTTTTTGTTAAGAACACACGCTGTAACCACTGAGCCATCCAGGCGGCAGCTCAACTCAAGGTGCTGAGCTCAGTCTTAGTTGCGGGCGGGCGTAGCCCACCATCGAACAGGCAGTCTTGTTGTTACACCAGCTGAGCCATCCTGCCACCTGTTGGCAGCTCAGTGCCAGCTCAGCTAGGGCGCAGCTCACTGGCCTATGTGGAAATCGAACCGGCGGCTTTGTTGCTCAGAGCTTGTGCTCTTAAGCTAACTCTTAACCAACTGAACCACTTGCCCGGCCCTATAGTTGACTCTTTTAAGGAGGGCACAGCTCACAGTGGCCCATGTGGTGACTGAACCAACAACCTTGGTGTTATCAGCACCACGCTCTAACCAACTGAGCTAACAGGTCACCCTAGTGTGTTTTTATGAAATGATGCCCTTTAGTGAGTTATTTCAAAACTGAAATTATTTAATCATCTTTTCTCCATTGCTGTAGAAATTCTAGTGGTATTTCATTTATAGAGACTCCGGCCCTGATAATCTATAGATAAATGATAAATTGACTTTCCCTTTCTTTCTTTACCTTCTCTGCTGAGTTTGTGACCCAATGTTGACATTTCCCTAGACGGTGTTATACATGAGAAAACACACAGCTGCCCCAGTCCATCTGACAGTTCCATTGCAACTGGCTCAGCTGCCTGGGGCAGCTGCAGCTCCAGAGGTTTCGCAGAAACTTGCTCAAGCCCCTTGCTCACAGGAGCTTTCTACAGATGCGGTGACCAGAAAGGACATGCCACTCACAAAGCTGGGTAGAAGCCAAAAGAAAAAAAAAATGGTTTACTACTTTTCAGTATTTAATAGCATGAAAACACAATGACCCATCTCATAATTATGGCTGAGAATCGTACAGATCCCTCATAGGTAGGCATGTGAACTTGTTTTTCATATTCAGTAAACCAATTAATGTAAAATTTAAATTTGTTTGAAAGAATGGTGTTATGGCCTGAATTGTACCCTCCAAACATTCATCTGTTGAAGCCCTAATGTGACTATCTTTGCACACAGGGCTTTAAAAAAGGTAATGAAGGTTATTAAGATAGGGCTTTAAAGGAGATAACAATGTCATAAGGGTGGAGTCCTAATCTAGTAGCACTGGTGTCCCCATGAGAAGAGGGAAGCCACCAGAGCTACTAGCTCTCTGCAGCATGTGCACAGAGAAAAGGCCACATGGGGACAGCAAGAAGGTGCCATCTGCAAGCCAAGAAGAGAGACCTCACCATAAACCAAACTGCTGGCACCTCCAGCCCTCCGACTTGTGAAAAAATAAAACTCTATAAAAGGCATCCAAATTGGAATGGAAGAAGTAAAACTGTCATTATTTGCAGATGACAGGATACTATAGAGAGAGAACCCTAAAAATTCCACCAAAAAACTGTTAGAACTGATAAATGAAGTCAGTCAAGTAGCAGGATACAAAATTAATATTGAGAAATCAGTTGCATAAATCCAATAACAAACTATCAGAAAGAGAAATTGAGAAAACAATCCCATTTTCAAATGCTTCAAAAAAAATCTAAACTCAATTTAACCAAGGAGATAAAAGATCTGTACTCAGAAAATTAGAAGACATTGAAGAAACTGAAGAAGATACAAATAAATGGAAACATATATCGTGCTCATGGGTAGGAAGAATTAACAATTGTTAAAATGTCCATACTACCCAAAGCAATCTCTAGATTCAGTGCAATCTCTATCAAAATACCAATGGCAATTTTCACAGGATTAGAACATTTATCCTAAAATTTATATGGAACCACAAAAGACCACAAATAGCCATGGCAATCTTAAGAAAGTAGAACAAAGTACGAGGTATAATGCTACCTGATATCAAATTATACTACAAGGCCATAATAATCCAAACAGCATGGTAGTGGCATAAAAAATAGAAACATAGATCAGTGGAACAGAAGAGAGAGCCCAGAAATAAACCCAAGACTACATGGTCAGTTGATCTATGAAAAAGGAGGAAAGAATATACAATGAAATAAAGACAGTCTACTCAATAAATGGTGCTGAGAAAAGTGGAAAAATACATGCAAAAAAGAAATGAGACTGGACCACCATAAACAAGAACAAACTCAAAATGGATGGAAGACTTAAATGTGAGACCTGAAACCATAAAGCTTCTAGAAAAAAACATGGGCTGTAAACTCTCTGACATTGCTGTTAGTAATATTTTTTCTGAATACCTCCTCAGGCAAGGGAAACAAACAAACAAAATAAACAAATGGGACTATATCAAACTAAAAAGTTTTTGCACAGCAAAGGAAATCAACAAAACAAAAAGACAGCACACTGAATGGGGAAGATATTTGCACTGACACATCCGATAAGGAGTTATATCCAAAATTTATAAAGAACTCATGCAACTTAACACCAAAAAGCAAACAATCCAATTAAAAAATAGGCAGAGGATCTGAATAGACATTTTTCCAAAAGGACCTATGGCCAACAGACATATAAAAAGATACTCAATGTCATTAATCATCAGAGAAATGCAAATTAAAACCACAATGAGATATCACCTTACATCTGTAATAATGGCCATCATCAATAAATCAACAAACAACAAGTATTGGTGAGGATGTGGGGAAAAGAGAACCCTCATGTTGGTGAGATTGCAAATTGGTGCAGCCACTATGAAAAACAGTATGGACATTCCTCAAAAAATTAAAAACAGAACTACCTTATGACCCAACAATTCCACTTCTGGGTATTTATCCAAAGAAACCCAAAACACTAATTCGAAAGGTATCTGCCCCTCTACGTTCACTAAAGTGCTAAACAGCCAAGATATGGAAGCAACCTAAGTACTTATCAATAGACAATTGAATAAAGAAGATGTGGTACATATAAATGATGGCGTATTACTCAGCCATAAAAAAAAATCTTATTATTTGTGACAACATGGATGGATATTACGTTAAGTGAAATAAGTCATTCCTTTCGCATCTCAAGATCCTTAAATGTACACTGAAGTGAAAATAACTACAACATTCTCCCTCTCTCCC